AAGGTTATAGTAAGGGGAGTTTGTAAGTGGATTTGTGCATTGTGATTCAAGTGTGGCTTATGGCTTTTGTTGATTTGGTCTCGTGGGTTGTGGCTGTTATGAGTGAGATATTTGGTGGTGCAGTGCATGTTCCTGAGGCGATTTGGTAGGTGATAGTTTTTATCTGTCTTTGTTTATGTCTGTATGTCTCTGTATCTGTCTTTATCTGCGCCTCTCTGTCTCTATCTGTCTCTCTGTTTCTCTTCTCTCTCTCTCTCTCTCTCTCTCTCTCTCTCTCTCTCTCCTCTCTCTCTCTCTCTCTCTCTCTCTCTCTCTCTCTCTCTCCTCTTCTCTCTCTCTCTCTCTCTCTCTCTCTCTCTCTCTCTCTCTCTCTCTCTCTCTCTCTCTCTCTCTCTCTCTCTCTCTCTCTCTCTCTCTCTCTCTCTCTCTCTCTCTCCTCCCTCCCTCCCTCCCTCCCTCCCAACTTTCTATCTCTCTTTGTCACACACTCTCCCTCTCCCCTCTCCTTCCCTCCCACCTTTCTCTTCGCCCCTCTCTATCTCTCTTTGTCACTCTCTCTCCCTCTCCCTTTCCTTATCTACGTCTCTGACTCTATCTGTCTCTTTCTGTTTCTCTATTCTCTTTCTATCTCCCACCCCTCACTCTCTCTTTCCTTCCCTCCCTATTTTCCATCTCTCCCTCTCCTCTTCCTTCCATCCCATCCCTCTCCCTCTCCATTCCCTTCCCTCCCACCCCTCTACCTCTCACCCTTCCCTCCCCTCTCTCTCTCTCTCTCCCTTCCCTCCCCCCCCACACCCCTCCTCCTCCCACCACTCAGTATTTAGACATAAAGCCAGCAGGTTCGCAGTCACGCCCGCCCCGGTGAAGGCAAGAGGCACGCATCGTGGGGCGCGCATTGTCAAATTACACACCCGTTCCTGAAGTGTTTGTTTGTACGGCGTGCTTGAAGGCAAAGGGTTGATTTACACGCCCGGAGACGCGTTCTTTTCTTTTTTTTTTTTTGCTTGTGTGCTTGTGAGATGGTGAAGGAGG